GGACCGCCCCCACGCGGCGCAGCTAGTCGGGAATAGCCTGGTCCGAGGCTGTGTCTAGACTGGCAAGTTTTTCTGCAAAATCAGCTGCTTTTTTCCGGAAAAACTTGCCAGCTGTCTACACTGGCCGCTTGACTTTCCGCAAAAGCACGGACGATCTCATGTAGCTGGTCAGTGCTTTTGCGGCAATACTATGCTGCTCCCGTTCGGGCAAAAGTCTTTTTCCAAAAACTTTGGCGCCAAAGCGCCAGTGTAAACAGCAGAGATTTGTTTTCCGCAAAAAAAACCCCGATCGCGAAAATGGCAATCGGGGCTTTTTTGCGGAAAAGCGTCCTGCCAATCAAGACGCGCTTTTCCAAAAATGCTTTTAATGGAAAACTTTTCCGTTGAAAGCATTTCCGGAAAATCATGCCAGTGTAGACGTAGCCCACCTCTGCGCTGCCGGGTAGCCTCAGAATGAGCCTGACGCAGGGGTAGACGTGCCTTCTCGGTTTGCAGCCCCAAGAGGAGCATGGCCCTGGGGACGGGCCGTTTCCAAATAGCAGAAGTGGAGCATCTGCACACGCCTCATTCTGAAATAGCCATTGCGGATTGGCATTATTCTTCGTAGAATGAGTTTACAGATATCGGAATAAGCCGTCCATTATGTCGAAATAATAGAACTGTGTGTAGACGCTCGCTGTTATTCCAAAATAATTTTGCTGTATGGACACACCCTACCAGTGCTCCATACAAGAAATAAAGTGACTCAGACACAGATCCACCTGACCCAACGGCTGCTTCTGCAATCACTTACATCCTGTATGGCAGAAATAAGGGAAGGAACCAAAGAACCTCTCCAAAAAGCAAATTACCCACTACTTTTCCCAACACTGTTGCATAGGAAACACTCTTGCAATGCATCTGCTGGGAAAAAAGACTCACCATCTTTCTTGGTTGGTAAAAGCCGCCACAGACTCTTAACAGCCTACTTTTGACCACAATGAGAGGAAATGCGTTCAGTTATTCTGATATATGCAGGTGTGGCCAGGGCCGGCCCAAGCCCTTTTGGTGCCCCAGGCATGCAGTGCTGCCACAGCATAGGAAACACTCTTGCAATGCATCTGCTGGGAAAAAAGACTCACCATCTTTCTTGGTTGGTAAAAGCCGCCACAGACTCTTAACAGCCTACTTTTGACCACAATGAGAGGAAATGCGTTCAGTTATTCTGATATATGCAGGTGTGGCCAGGGCCGGCCCAAGCCCTTTTGGTGCCCCAGGCATGCAGTGCTGCCACAGCCACATGGTGCA